GGGGGAAGGGGCGGGGGGAGGGGTGGGGGAGAGGGAGAGGCGCGCGGCGACGGCGGGCTCCGGCCGCGGCCGCGGCTTCGCGCGGGGGAGCCGCCGGCGGCGGTGCTGGAACCCTAGGCGGAGGAGGGAGCTTGGGGTCGGGAGCCTGGCTCTTGACCACTATCTTTGACAGCTTTTTTACTTTAACCTATTGCTATTACTCTTTATCCAAACAACCGCTAAGGGTGGACCTACATTTTCTTTTGAATGGGGCATACCATATGACTGGGGCCACCTGCCAGCGTCTACAACAGAGATGGCGTCAGCGCAAGAGCCAATACATGTGATGAGCGACCTATGAGAATGCTCCTTTGGAACCAGAACTTGTGTAGAAATGACATATTTTCATTTGTTTTCTTTTGAGAAACTTCCAATCTATCCTTCTTCAATCATGACAGTATAAAGAACAATATAGGTAATAAAAATTACAACCATGTCCGTGGACCAGCTAACGACGACTACAAGCATTTGAGTGAGACAAAGGCGCGCCATCATCACCCTTCCGTCACTGGGGCCGGCAAACCTTGCTGTAGTAGACAGTCGGGAAGTCGTTGTGCTAAGGCCCCATAAGACTAGTGCACCAGAGTAGCAACCAGCGCACCAGAGTAGCAACCAGCACACCAGAATAGCATCCATCGCCGATCAATATATCCTGGTCTGGCTCAAGGCATCACCTCATGAGGCTGACACACTACCAATCTTTGTGGTATCCTTGATTGTGCTATAGGTAGTTGCACGCTCACAATGAGTTCTGGTGGTCGCCTGCTTTGTTGCCATCCCTCAATGCAACCAGAAGCAATTGTGTTATAATCACGTGGCAGTTATGAAATTTTAGGTTTTGAAAATGTTTCTCTGCTATATTTATTATTTCCTTTATATTCGATGAGTAGCCAGACGGAACCTTCATACTGAGCAGGCATTCAAAAAAGATGTCCTTCTTTTCTTTGGTAAGAGTGTAGCTGACAGGACATTGATACTCAATTGGATGCATGCCGTCTTTTTCGTGCATATGTTGCTGCTCCTTCCGTGTCTCCGGTGTATCTTTTGTCTTCCCATACACGCCCAAGAAGCCTAGCAGGTTCTTGCAAAGATTCTTCGTCACGTGCATCACGTCAATTGCAGAGCGGACTTCTAGGATTTTCCAATAGGGTACGTCCTAAAATATAGATTTCTTCTTCCACATGGATGCGTGTCCATCAGCATAATTCGGAACAGATTGTCCGCCACGACCCTTTCAAAAAATTACTTTTAAATCCTTGACCATATCAAGTATATGATCACCAGTATGGTGGTCAGGCTTCTTCCGGTGATCTGCCTCACCTTTGAAATGCTTCCCTTTCTTTTCTTAAGAGACGCTTGATCGCAAAAAATCGACGATGTCCTAGGTACACATTCTTCTTACATTTATCCAAATATATATTTTCGGTCTCATCTAAACAGTGGGTGCAAGCGTGGTATTCCTTGTTTGTCTGTCCTGAAAGGCTACTAAGAGCATGCCAATCATTGATGGTTAGAAACAGCAATGCTCATAGGTTAAATTCCTGTTGTTTGTGCTTATTCCACACACGTACACTTTTTTTTGCCCTACAACTGTAAAAATTCTTCAACTAATGGTCTTAGGTACAAATCAATGTCATTGTCGGGTTACTTGGGGGCACTGGATGAGCACTGACATCATAATGAACTTTGTTTCATGCACAACCAAGGAGGAAGATTATAGATACATAGAGTCACATGCCAGATGCTACGATTGCTGCTCTGCTCCCTAAAGGGATTAATGCCATCTGCACTTAAACCAAACCAACAGCTCCTTGCATCACCTGCAAAGTCCGGCCACTTTCTCTCGATTTTTTCCACCGTGACCCATCAGCGGGTACTCTCAACTTTCCATCTTTCTTACGGTTTTCTTTGTGCTATCGCGTCAACTTGGCATGCTCTTTGTTTTGGATTAAACGTTTCAACCATGGTATTATAGTAGCATACCACATCACCATGATAGGAATCCTCTTCCTGGGGCGTTCGCCCTCAACATCACAAGGGTCATCGCGGATAATCTTATAGCGCAATGCACCGCATACCGGACAAGGACTAATACTTGACTAGGACTAGTAATCCTATTAGAACTCATCTTTCTTTTCTAATCCTACACGGACACCTACTACACGGTTGTTGTTTAATTCTTATAGAGAAGTGCATGGATGAACCCATTTTAGAACTTATTTTTAAATACCAAAATTTTCTAAAAAAAAGTCTCTCGCACACATCTCCACATTCTATGTGCACGTAAAAAGTTTCGCGAAAAAATAACTTTTTATTTGGCCTTTGCAAAAAAGACTGAACAAAAGTGTCCTGGAACACTATTTAGAAGCACTGGAATTTGTCTTTTTTGAGGAGACAAAACAAAAAAAGATTTTTCTCACAAAACTTTGTGCCCGGCACATATATTGCAAAGATGCATGCGTGAAATTTTCGTTTGATTTTTTTGACATTTTAAAATGTGTTTAAAATGCATTTTTTGGAAAAGTTGGTTCATATGCCCCTGCTTGCAGGACGTGCCCTCTCCAACAGCGACACACTTGCATCGTCACCTTGTGGAACATTTTTGTCTTTGGTCTATTATTCCGGTTTTGATTGGTTGGATCCGAAACCTGGATGAAATTTCCTGTCTTGGCCGTCTTAGGCTGGATTTGGCAACATTAAGGCCAACTCATTCTCTTTTCTTCAAGATCTTGGTCCGCAAGTGACGCTTAGTCAGAGGTTTTTTTTTTGTCATGTGTTGCCATGGTTCTGCCATTCTCAGCGCGTCCGTCCAACTTACTAAGATGGCCAAGACATTTGAACGTGGGTGAACAAACTTTCAAAATTTTGGCTATACTTATTCTTTTGCCGGTTCGAGCGACAACCTTGGAGGCCTAGTCTCGGAGTTCTGTACATTCAAGTCTTGGTTGGTAGTGAGTGATGGTTTGATGCACGGACATCTGGGTTAGTATTTTCCATGTTCTTGGATTGTTGACTTCAATGAGACTCGATAGTAATGTGGTCGGATTTGGGTCAATGAGACCCATTTGTTCGCTTTGCAAGAAGTGACGAACGGAATTCCTACTTCCTCATTCTTCATGGTGTTTTATTTCCTTTTATTTTTATATTTTAGCTTTTTCTTGCTGTAGTGACTATGTATTAGCAATTCTTGTTATCACGTTTTATATCGCTTTATCAGCTTGATGCATCAAGGAAATATCATGCTACCTCCATTCCACAATGTAGTGCATATAGATTTTTCTGAAAGTCAAACTTTGCCAATTTTGACCAAGTTTATAGAGAAAATTGTCTATATCTACACTACCAAACATGTACATTATGAAAATATAACTCATGATGTATCCAATGATATGCATTTGGTATTCTGGATGTACCTATTTTATTTATAAATATGGTCAAAATTTGTAATGTTTGACATTTGGAATAATCTATAGGAACTATATTATGAAACAGATGGAGTATAATTGATAAATGGTGTGTTACTTCCCACAAGTCTTTCATACTTTTGTTTCACAAGTGTAGCAAGCCAAAAAGTTAGCGACGAACGAAGTTTTCCTTACACGTGTGGCAACTATCTTTAGTAGTTCATGGCGACAGAACATTTACCATATTGATGGTTGAACTTTTCAGGACCATGGATGGAACTTCAACTTCAAGTGGGGAGCCAAAGCTGAAAGGTCATATAAAGGAGCGAAATAAGGTGAGGCTTGTCAGAATGAAATTTTAACCTTAATGACTTAATCTGATGTCACAATTGCTTGCACGAGGAAAATGTGTGTGTTTTATGGATAATCATTCCTTCTAAGTAGTTTCTCATTGTAAGAATTTAATTAGTAATTAAAATATATGCTTTATGATGAATCTTAACAGCACAAAGAATCATATATAGTGTGTAATGAAATTATAACGAAGTTCTGTAGACAGAATCATCCATATGTTTTCATAGCATTCTGAGCCAATGTGTGAATGTAAAGATGATGATCCTAGCAGGGGAGAATAAAGGCATGCACAATACTTGATAAGGCATAATTATCTTAAACTTATCACATGATCTGAGAAGACAATAAAAAGATATGTACACTTAATCTTGGATCAGAGAGGGGAGGTGTGGGGAGAGGGGATCTCAGCGGGGCCTCCAAGGAGGCGCACAACGGCCATGGGCATTGCCACCGTCGTGGTCAGCCAGGCCAACCACAGATTTGTTCCTATCCCAGACTCACACCACCAAACCCATCTGCCATCAGACCGACAAAGCACACCGGCGCTAGATCCAGAGAGGGCTAGAAGAGGAAGGAGGGCAAAACTTCAGATCCAGCGCTAGAGGCCACCGGAGCAGCCCACAAACCTCGTACGATCATCTTGCCGTCCGCATGGCCGAGGACTCTGTCCCACACCAGCATCTTTCCGACAATGTTCACTAACATACGACATTTCCGTCTACTGCAAGGCACATGTGATGACTCCTTTAATCTTAAGATTTACGAGGATGTGCATTTATAAGGATATATATGGTGTGCATGCATGTGTTCATAGGGATCTTTTTTTCTTCTGGAGAATGTATGGTGTGTGCGCGCGCAATGCTTCTTAGTTAATTATGATGGTCCACCCAATCGATAGGTTGGATGTTTTTCTTTTGGAGAATTTCTATCACCTTTCCCTGTTTTCCTCGTAACGTCCATTTATTTAGTATATAATTAATATGTAGATATGTAATACAAAGATATTCATCAAACATCCCACCAAAAAAAATATTCATCAAACAAAAGGAATATATTTCTTTGCAATTATTTTTTCCTCTGCCAAAAATAAATATATTTCTTTGCAATTCATTTTGATTGTTTATGATATCATTTATTTCCTTCGATTAATTTTTCTACCAATATTTTGCTTGATTGCTTTGCCCATAGGCATGTATTACCAAGATGGGGCCATGGGGTGGAATAGGTGGCCAAGCTTGCAGAATCATGGTGGAACCCGTATGTCTAAATAGCATAACGATCCGTAGTGGGAAGACGTTACTAGCAATTGCGTTTTCATACAGTGACAAGCATGGAAAGCCTCACCATGCAGGTCCATGGGGAGCTAACGGAGGCCAGCTTATAGGGTCCTCTTTTCATACGGTATGTGCAAATCATATGGAGTATTATTCAAGCTAAGGTTTTCAATTTTCATGCGGTATGTGCAAATCATACATTATTCTTGCTAATCAGTTTCCCGATCTTTTAGATTTTGCTTGGCCCCTCGGAGCATCTGATCCAAATTTCTGGAACAGTTGATATGAATATCGAGCATTCTACCGACGTCATAACATCAATTACGTTTACCACCAATATGAGTGTCTATGGCCCTTTTGGAACAAGAGAAGGACTTCCTTTTCGCAGTAAACTGGTGAGCAATGGAAGTATCGTTGGCTTCTTTGTTCGAGCTATGTGCCTGATTGATGCGATTGGTATCTATGTGAAACCCGAGAGAGAACCAATGGAAAAACAGGGTTTGATCACGAAAACTGGACCATGGGGTGGTTACAACGGGTATCTTTATGACGTGGATGTGTCGCCCCGACGCCTGGTAAGTGTGGTAGTTCGCTGCAGCGAGGTAATCGATTCAATTGCGTTCACATACATTGACTGCGATGGACGGCAACATAGTGCTGGTCCATGGGGAGGACATGGTGCAATTCGAGACGGTGGGACCATCCATACGGTGAACATCAATCTTCATAAATTTATTTTCCCGCTATTAGCTCAGTACATGTAAACAATTAGCCAAGTTTCTAACTGTTTATTGTTCACCTGATCTAGATTGTGCTTGGCCGTTCGGAATATTTGAAGGAAATTTCAGGGACAGTCGGTCCGAGTCCACATCCAGACATTGTAATGTCACTTCTCTTTGTTACCAATATTGGTAGCTATGGACCATTTGGAGGTGGAGGGGGAACTACTTTCTGCAGTCCCGAGCTGAAAAATGGTAGCATTATCGGATTCTTTGCGCATGCCGGACAGAATGTTGACGCAATTGGTGTCTACGTGGATGCAATAAAAGAGAAGGTAATGTTTTACTTTACTTTATGTTTGATTATTCGGTAATGCTATTCAATGAACGTTAGCTGGGGACCATGGTGAAATGAAAATCTTCATGGCAATTTTTTGTGTCGATACGATGGCAATTCCTTCAAGCAATAAGGCAATTTTTTACAGCAAATCCTCTGCCTGCCAGATATTGCCATGCCTTTTTGAAGAAAGTGCAATGTGTTTT